GTCCGCGCCGTTCCGAGAGCGAAGCCACCAGAGCAGCGACGTAAAGTCGGAATCGCGTGTCGGCGTATCGGGGGTTAGGAACGGCGACACGGTAACCCGAACACGTGCCATCCCCCCCCTACCGATTCCTCATCATATTACAGCTACCGATAATGAGAGGGCGGAACGGGGGGGATTCGACACGCTGACGGCAAGGAGCGTCCTCCGTAGCCTTGCCAAGGTCTCAGTGTCAGGTCACAACGACGGATCACACGGAGAAAAGCAATCGATCTCTCCCCCATTTCTTTTTTTTTTTAGTAAGAAGAGGGCATTGGACTGAAGAGAAAGAGAGGGGGGAAGGGAGGGAGGTAAAGTTGAACGTCCTTTCCCTCCCTTCCACTTCCCAGCCCTACATAGAACAATTAAAACTGGCATGGACGGAAAAAAAAGAAACAAAAGTTCGAAGAATTAATATTTTAACGGGGCAGTCGCTGCCTCCCCCTCGTACGTGCGTCTGTTCGAGCCCGTAACGCAGCCGTGTCGCTAGAATTATCCCCTCCCCTTCCTGATCGCCGCACACTTGTTGCTCCGATGTAAAATCTTCCATGCCTCATTTATTTCTGCGAATAAGTAAATAATTATTTGATCGGATCCGGATCCAGTCTGGATAATAATTAATTGAACGAAACAGGAAACGTCTAAATACACCGCAAAAGTGAATTTTTTTTTTTTTACAATGTTTCAGATTTTTTTTTTTTTTTTTTTTTGCCGATTATTTCTGTGCCAGAACGTTCCGTTCACGGTCTTCTACAGCAGTCTCATTATCATTTCCTGCGTCGTCTCAAATTTCCCAACGACGCAATAATTGAACTACATGCTGCCCACTACCAACCAACCAAAGCAGTCGACCCGGATCAAACGAAGAAATACATAAAAAGAATAGCCCCCTACGACGGAAAAACCTTACATAAATACGATATAAGACCGACCGTTCCCCCGGAAGAGACGCCCAGCAAAAGTCAAAATAAACCCTGCGCAGGTTGCAAAAGGTATATATCGTTGCAACTGCTCTTTTTGTGAATTTCCTGTATTTCACTGGGAAGTTCAAGGATGACGTGCGTCTTTAACCTACGTAACGCGATGCAACACCGTTTCTTCGACTGCCTGAAAGAACACACGCACACGATTTTCTACGTAAGCTATAAGTAGTGTTAATCTGCTTCAGGCTGCAAACATTGTGCGCACTAATGCGTTAAAATCCAAGGAGGTTAGAAGTACTAGGAGGGGGCGCGTTCCAATATTGGTGAAGTCTAGTCATAAAAAGTTTAAACGATATTGTGTCCAGCGTGACCGCATATCTGTCTGGCAATTGGTGCGCGTGACATGTCACGTGCGAGATGGGTGGTTGATTGTAGGAGGACTCCTCGCAGGCTTGCGCGCGCTCCGTCCGGTAGGTTTTATCAGATCGCAGGCTAGCTACGGTCACGTGATGTGGTCATGTTGGGCTGATAAGTGAGGAGAGTAAGGAGGAAAATGAGAAAGAGGCGAGGCGTCAAGGGAGCATGGCTTGTGGAGGCTACGCGGCCGACGTCATGTCCTCTCCTACCTTTCTATTCTCCATGTTCAAATCGGTGAAGATGACTCCGGTCATACGGCGGCCATCTTGAATGGGAACTAAACGGGTGTTCATTGATTAAAATGAACTCTAAAAGCTCAAAAGAAACTTTGCAAGCACACTCTCTCCGCTCTTGATTATATGGCAAGCGATTAGTCGTGCGTTAATTATTTAATTAGATAATGAATAAGTAAACATCGCGACATGGTTCTCATTTTTCTCCTCCAATACTAATGCCTAAAAGGGTGATAAATTTACACCGCGTACTCAGTATTATAGTTGCAAAGTAGACGAAAGCTTTTCTAAAAATTTTGGTTTCAGTTCTGTTTAAATATAAAACTAGATAATTTGTACTATAAAACGTTTTTTTTTTTTTTTTAAATAAGGTTTAAACACACCGTGACTCAAAGCATTGCACTTTTGTAGCATTTATTTTTACTCGCGTGATCTTCATTCTATTTGTTCTACATCGTTACTACAGGCTCAGCTGTTCAGGGCCCGTAAAAAGAGATAAATAAATGAATTAACTTATACCAAAGTATAAACCTTCCAAAATGCCGACTGCACTTCTATGGCCTCCGAGAAATTTTCTTTGTCATAAACATTTACCACATTCGTGCTTGATTCAGTAGAGAACCGACTTAATTCGGTAAAAATACGGGTTGTTTCACCTTTCCAGTGGTTTCGCGCTGCGACCAGCAAGGAGCAGGACCACGGGCGCAAAGATGCGATCTGATGAAAAACCGAAACCTAGAAACGCGTCCAAATTGAACGTTGTTCTTTTTTTTTTTTTTTTAAGAACGCCGTAAAAGGCTGCTTTCACCTTATATCTTCCTAAAAAGAGTTGATTGAATGGTTTTCGACGATGCTTAGCAAGTTTCTGATTAGAGCCATATGTCTATTTTCAATAATTAAAATGTTAATTAACAAAGTGTACTTAATTAGCCGACTGATCGTTACGAGTATCCACCAACTACACTATGTCCCCATGGCCGTATAACTCACCTCCACAAACCGCTTATGTGTGGCTTTCACGGTTTTTTAAAGAAATCTTTAGAGTTTAAAAAAAAAAAAAAAGAAAAAAAGAACGCCCTGTGTATTTTATTGTTGTTATTGTTTTGTAACTCGATTGATACCTGTTTTATCAGTCTTTTCAGACTAATTGGCCTTCAAACGTGTTTACGGGATATTCCACGCTGTACTGTCTCTGCTATTTGATATGGACTAACAGAAATCTTCTAAAAATAAACGTAGTATTTTTATTGTACAGTTCTTTTACATGCCCGTACGTTTTGCTAGGCTGTTTTCTTTTTTTTTTTTTTTATCTGTTACTATTGTGAAAGCTTGAACGCGGGTTAAGGGTTTATTCACGTCATAATTATTTCTCTATGTAGTGCCCCAGTACAACCAATAAAACAAATATTTTCGACCCAAAACAAAATCCATAGAGACGACGCACACCTTAGGCTACCACACTTATCCGCGCAACAGAACCTCGACAAAGTCTGCAAAAAGGTCAACGTGCCAGACAGTCGAGAGAACCACGTGAGCGATTAGCAGCGTCCGTTGCACTGCCGGCCCATTGCAGGTCGTTGGCGTCCCATTATACCCCCTCCTTCTCCCCCACTATCAGACAATAGAGATGGCATCATCATTAACCCATTTGTACGGAACGACATTGCTTCACCTTTTTTTAGAGGCACACGAGAAAAACGCCCTAACGGACAACACGGACTGCAAGCTTTGACGCTAAATGCCGTATTTCGGTCTCGTTAAAGTGGACCCCGTACATATGGATATATCGAGCAGCTCTCTGGACGTCACGATACAGCGATGGCGCTGCTGTCTGTACTGCGCATGCGCACAAGTGTCGTCTCACGCTAATCTGGTTTCTGCGCATGCGGCAGTGCGCACACCTGGTGAGGGCAGAAGTCGGCTTGTTGGTACACGAGAGTGGCCGTGTTAAAGGTAGTATATGAACGCACATTGCACGTCCCCGTGGCATTTCTACCAGGAAGTGTAAACTAATCATCAAAACTTGTTTTTATTATTTTTTATTTGAACATTTGTGACATTCACGTCTATGTGTGGTTTACATTTTCACGTTACTAACGAGTTGCACGTATTATAAGGGCACGAAAGAAAAAAAAAAAGGGGGGGGGGGGAGGTGAACGCCGCAATGTTCTTTTGGACTCTCAACTTCGTGACACCTACCAAATTCGTGTCATCATAGCATTTCAACCAGGAATCAGAGTGCAAACCTAGCATCAAACTCGAAATACCTTCTCTTTTTTTTTCTCCTTTTACAAATGTGATATATAGGTTTTATGTGTAGTCCACACTTACATGTTCGTATTTTTTTTAATTGCGTCGACAGCCCCTCAATATAATATCACAAAATTCGACTTCTCTTTTTCAGAAACAATTCAGTTTTTGTAACCACGTGAGCTGCCCACCTGCTTTCAATATTATAAAACTGCACAAAAGCAACTGCTTTGAGCGTGTATTTTCGTCATTCTTGCCCAGCTCGCTTGCACCTTTGCATTTAATTGCACTATAAGTGTATTGCTGCTCCTTTACAGGATGTAGGAAACGAGAACGTGCAAACCCTATCTCATGCCAGGCACGTAGCCAGGATTTTGTTTCGGGGGGGGGGCATGACAAAGTGCTGTATGAGGGGGAAGGGAGAGAAGGTCCAAGCAAAATGGAAGATTCCGGGAGGGGGGAGGGGAAGGCCAGGGCCTTATGGGGCCTCCCCCCCCCCCCCCCCCCCCTCCCTTATAACTACGTGCCTGTCTCATGCTATTTTTTTTTTTTTAATCATGCCGTAATTGCGTAACCATACGCGCGTTTGCTTAGCTCGACTGATTTGTTCATCGAGAAAATCCTGCGAAAACCCCGTTCGAGGGCGGGTAGCATAAACAATAAACAAATAAATAAATCGGGCGACGTCACCAACACAGCACCTCACGTGAGGTCAACTTGCACTCTTGAGAAACGCTCACCGAGCCGAACAACAACCCAAACGGCCCGATCGCAGTTTAACGCAACGCGTCTCCAGTTCCGGGCGGTCAACAACACTGGTCGAGTGCACGTCGACCAATCAGGAGCGAGTCTGCGCGGCGTCCAACTTATTATTCAGTCGGGCGCAACAACTCGAACGACGCTGAGACGGGTTTGACGCATCCCTAATGCCAAACATGTCAACACTAGTCTGGTCTGTGCCAACAGTATGGTGTTGCCCACGTGTGACACCAAGCCGCCATTATCTAGCAACCGTTTCCCATGCATTCATTAAAAAAAAAAAAGTACGAAGTTTGACCAGCTGTCGCGCTGCAACCACAATCACCTTCAAATTTCCGCTTCATGCGCAAGTGCTTAGGATGCAAAAGGTCGTCAAGCCTACCTGCTTGCACCGGCGTTCCACAGTGGATCGAAGTTAGGATATCCCCAGGACGAAGGTCCACAGGCCATGGCGCTCATCGCATCACGACGCGACGACGCCAAGCAGGACGCTATCACACACCACTCGTCGTAGAAGCATCGCGCTCATAACACAACACGGAGATGCACGGGTAGGAGACACGGTTTACCACAAACACCTCAAAACACACACAAACGGAGTCGTCGGCCTTTTCTCAACACCCGTTGACCACCCAAAAAAGCAAAGCTAGGCGTAGCAGCCGCCACCGCCCGGCGACGTCTTGTTGAAAGCGTAGGTTCTTCCGCGAATTGACCGCGCCGAGACGCAGCTTCCGAAGAAAATCTTCCACGACGCCACAAACGAGGTATCGAGGAAAAAAAAAACCACACAAAAAGGCCGGGCTCACAACTGTCGAACAATCATCGACCGGACTTCGATGACGACACAAGTTCACAGCCGCTGCGCAGCGAAATCCAGTAAGTTCTCCTTTTTTTTTTCTCTCTCTCTCGGAACGGGCGATGCAAAGCTCTATGCGCATACGATTCACACTGGGTGCCCTTTTTTTCTTTTTTATCCGAGCCACGGACACTGCGACCAGGCGAACCGGCGATCGCAGAAGTGCGAGCCCAAGCGACCGCGTTATCAGCCGCGCCGCGCACACGTACACAGGCTTACAGCTGTCGACGAACCCGAATCAACCGTCCTCGCGACGGGGAACCAAGGTCACTCGCCGTCGCCGCCACCGCCGTCGCCGCTGCCACCACTGCCGTCCAGCATTACACGGAACCCACCGCGAAGAACGATCACGTTTCGTCGTCACCCAGATCACCCGCGATCACCACCGGAATCACAGAAATCACTCGGCGAAAAGCAAAAAATTCCTGGCTTCCAAACAACAAAGGCGTAGTCGACGTCTGCTGGGGCACCCGCGAGCAGACGACGAGTTTCTCAAACAGCGGAAAACACGAAGGAGAGGAGGAGGCGGCGCAGTGGGGGAAAAAAAGGTGGCGCTTCGGTACACAAATGGCCCCAAATGGCGCAGCTGCGCGTGCGCCGGGTCATGACGTCGCGCGTGACGTTTTTTACTGACGTAGTTGTGACGTCAGAGCGCGCTCGCGCGCACTGCTCGGTTGCTCCTGAAAGCGCGCATCCACCCCCGACATCGGCGCAACAGGCATGATGAAGCCCTCGCGGTCAGCGAACGCGCGCGCGCCCCCGTTTTTATTTGATTGCCGGAAGCTTATTACCATCACATATAGAGGGTTCGGTGTCTTCGGAGTTTACTTCTCGTAACATTCGGATTGTGTTTCCCGAGTTTTTTTTTTTTTTTTTGCCGAAAATTTGGAGTTTATCGAAGTTTATGATAGATTCCAGATTCTCCGAAGATTCGGAAATTAATTTCCCTATGTGCCGGATTTCTTTTCTCATAATTCAGCATAAAAGCCCCGCTACCGTGATACTGAAATAATAAACAAAATTACCGACGAATGTTTCTTTTTGTGTGTTTTTTTTTTTATTATTTTTTTCCCTGATTTATCCGAAAACACGGAATTCTAATTATATTGTCTTCCTGAAATCATTTTGTGTCGTAGATCTCACAGGATGTAGAGAACTTTATGTCGAACCCGAGGTTCGACTGGTTAGGCGGAACTTAGAACTTCAGGCGAAATTCGACTGTTGAGCAGTGTTGCCCCCAATACCTACGCAAATATGTCAAATCTTAGAAAGAAATAATATATACGGTAGATTATTATAAAAGCATTAAAAATATAAAAGTATATAATCTTTCAACGATTTAGTTGGTTGAATAAATTCCTACGTCAGGTGGCGTTAGCTCTTTGTCGATATAAGTGCGTGTGCCTCATGGTCGAACTTCAGTCGAACCTGGTCTTGACTGTTATTATTATTATTACTATTATTATTATTATTATTTCCTGAGAGCTTGTTCGTCGAAACTGAGTATGCAAAGAAAGAAAGTATTCTTATTGGCCTGTTCTATCTCCCCCCACAAACGCCGCCTGATGATTTTCAGCGTTGTCTCGTTGGCTTAGAACAACTCAACGAGTTACAAGGGTGCAATCTTATTACTTTGGGGGACTTAAACGCCCCAGGCATCAACTGGACTGATCTAAACGTTTTGACTGACAACCTTTATTGTAAGCAAAAATGCAACCATCTTTAAGACTTCTTTTTTTGGATCTGAAGCAGCTGAACAATGTTCTTAATAAGCAAAGTAATGCTTTAGATTTATGTTTTTCAAATACGGACAGTGTACGCGAGACTCGGAGTGAAATGTCAATGGTTCCTGAGGATATGTACCACCCCGCGCTTGATGTAGTGATCTCTATTTTTAATTATCCAACTCACTGTCACTCGGATGCCTCTCCACCGCACGCGCCGTATAACTTCTCGGCAGGGGACTACGTCGGAATGTACCACCACCTCTCGACTGTTGACTGGTCATATGTTTTTGAATCCACTGATGTCAATGAGCAAGCTTTTCCGTTCACGAGGATTGTACAGGAGGCTATGGATACCTACATCGCGCTGAGAGCCCAGAATAGATCTTCTTTTCCTACCTGGTTTTCTCGTGGAAAACCAGGTAGGAAAACCATCAGGGATCGGTCCTACGTCCCCTTTTGTTTTCAATTTTTGTAAATGATGTTTCCCGTGTTATTTCAAATTCTATGTTTCTTCAATACGCGGATGATATAAAAATCTACAAGGAAATAGTGACGCCACAGGATTGCACTAAGCTTCAGGAAGACGCATGTTCCTTCTTCCAGTGGTGCTTAGATAATGATCTTTGTTTAAACCGTTCTAAAACAAAGGTCATGACTTTTTCTCGTAAGACGCATAACACCTCTTGTTTATATAATATCCACGGCGAAATTCTGTCTCGTGTCGATGAAATGAAAGATCTCGGTGTCACCTTTCACTCAAGTTTGAGGTTCGATGGCCATGTAACCAGGGTAATCATCTCGTCTCTCCGCACTTTGGGTGCCGCATGTCGTGTTACGAAAGAGTTTGAAAACGCGCCTGCATTTCTCACATTGTACTGTTCATCAGTAAGGTCACAGCTGGAGTACGCCTCAGTTGTGTGGAATGGAATTTCCCAAACCAATTCTGTGGGGATTGAGCGAGTTCAAAAGAAGTTTATTTCTATCATGAAGCATCGCTATCTTAAAGAGGATGTACCTGGTAAGAATTATGAAGATGCGCTAAAACGTTTTTTTAAATTTCTCAGCCTGCACCGGCGTCGGGAGAAAGCTGATTTGTTGTTTCTGTTTAAGGTCACGCACGGCCTAATTGATTCACCATACCTCTTGTCTTAAGTAAGTCTTAGAGTTCCACACGTACGTACACGTCTTCATTCATCTTTTTATACTTCTCGAGCTTTTAATCAGCTATTCCCAATCCTCAGGTTGGCTGAATGTTATAATCGTCACTTGGAAGTACTTGATATATTTGACTCGTGCTATTCGGCTTTTAATCAATATATTGTTAACGTGTTCATGCTTGAGCAGGAGTGAAAAGTGCTGAATATCCGACTGTGTGAAATTTATTGTTTCTCCAATATGTGCGCGTTGCAGATGTCTCGCTGATTCGCATTAAATTTTCCCGCTTTAAATTTCCTTCGAACAGATGATTCTCACCAGCACAATTCCTATCTTTGTTACCCTTCTGCATTTGTTGGGTCTTGTATAAAATTGTGTTTCTTGTGTTTTTGTTAATTTGTAGTTATAAGTGTGCCAGCATCAAAACCGCGAGGTTGTTTTTGGACACTCTAATAAACATTGATTGATTGATTGATTGATTATTTGTTTTGGTCAACAACAAGTTTAAGAAATTATCGACTTAGAAAGCTCGAAAATACCCCTATGCGTAACGCAAATATAGATAAGTCTACCAAAAGTTTGGTCGCGACTTTGATTATATCGAAGTAAGGCAAAGTAAGGTCTTATCAGCAGATTAGAAGCTACACAAAACCGAGCCGTTCGTTTCATCTTATCTAACTATCATCGTACAGCCAGTGCAACATCAATGAAATTAACTTTGTCACTTCCCAGTTTGTCGTCTCGGCGCAAGACAGCTCGTTTATGCCTGTTTCACAAAATTTATCATCACATCCCATCTCTCCGTTTGAAACTAATGCTCGAGCCCTCTTACCGTTCATCCCGTCTCGACCATATTCACAAGGTAGGCATACCTAATTTTAACACCTTCAAATTCAGCATCTCGTTCATACCTCGCACATCGACTGACTGGAACCACCTTCCCGCTTCTATTGCAGATATTAATGATATTTCACTCTTTAAGCAATCACTTATTAACAGCACCCTTGGTTGATTAATTGCGTTTATTTATTGTTTGCTCACTCCCCTCTAAAATGTACTCTGTACCTTGAGGGTAAATAAATAAATAAATAAATAAACCCTTGCAGTGAACGCGGGAAAATGATCCAGCACACCATATCGAATCAAATTCACGTTTGACTTTGTTGTTCCATCACAGGGAATCGACAACATGCTTTCCCAGCTGCGATCAGACATCACAACAATCACGGCATGACGTCTGACGCAGACATGACGTTATCGCGCGCAACGAAGCCACGACAGCATCCAAACAGCTTTCGACAATGATTCTTCCAAACGTGTGCCGGAAGCGTAATTATTAAATAAACTGCTTCCTTTTTTCTTTCGATATTTCGAATCTATGTGATTAGTAGGGGAGCTATTTATATGTGTTATTGCTTTTTATCTCCGATCAACTCGGTAAAGAAAAAAAAAAAAAGAATTAGAAATGTTTTATGTATATAGAAATTTAGATGTGCACCGTAGCTATTTCTCCACATCATCGCACAGATTTAGGCAATTATCATGACGTGGCACAAGCTTTTAGATGCCGTCTTCAAAGAGGGTTAGCGCCAGGGGTTTCACCAGGAATTGAAACTAAGGGAACAAGGGGAAAGGGGGGGGGGAGAGAGAAAAGAAAGGGAAGTCTCAACTTTTTTTTTTTGGAGGAGGGGGAATTTTTTTTTTTTTTTTGGGGGGGGGGGGGGGGATTGAGAAGAGAGGAGTCGTTGCGAATTAAGGGGGTGCATTAAAACTTTTTAACACTTTGGGGTGCCTTCAGTTCAGAAAAACAAGGAGGAAAGGAGGGGGGGGGGGGGGGGCTTTTCATTTATTGCTGCGTGCTTTTCATTTACTGAAAAGCACGCAGAAAAATGCTGACATACTCTGTTTGAGACTACCTACCCGACTTGAAAGTCTGTACAATTTGTGACGTTGTACCACTGGAGAGCGCGCAGATATTTTAATGTTGGTTTTGGCACCATCTTCATTTACGGTTTTCTCAATTGCTATTTTGAATTTCGAGAAAATAAATACCAGGACTAAAGTCCAAATATTCAGAAAATGCAATATAAGTAGCTAAAAAAAACATTTTTAAAAGGCCTTTGTGTGAGCACACGCGTCCCTGGGTGGGACACGCATATCAAAATATTAATATTACGCAAAAAAAAAAAAATTAGTGCTATTTTGATGGCGCGAGACGCGATTTAGTGGGTCGTTACCTCCTTTCCACTTGTTTTCTCTCTCGGCATTTCGGGCGCGTGGAGGTGAAGTGGATCGGCTTGGCCATCACGTTGAGGTAGAGAAAGTGTATGAACATCTCGTTGAAATGGAGAGAGTGTATGACTATCCGGTTGAGGTGGAGAGAGTGTATGATTATCTGGTTGAGGTGGAGAGAGTGTATGACTATCTGGTTGAGGTGGAAAGAGTGTATGACCATCTCGTTGATATGGAAAGAGTGCATGACCATTCTGTGACGTCATAGACTTGCATACAGAATTTAAAATAAATCTCGCGCCGTCAATATTGCTCCAATTTCTTTTTTTCAGGTAGATATTCTTTTTTTTTTTTGACACGCGTGTCCCAATTAAATTTTTTAAATTTTTTTTG